ACAAGCTTAATAGCATAAACATGTATTTATGTTCAATATTTTTCTTGAGAATTTTTCATGCTTCTGACATTTTAACTCTTTCAAAGATTATCATGTAAATTTCATTATGTATTGAGTAATATGCATAGGCTATAATAGATGCACATCATATTTTAATTTTATATACTGCCAAACTAATAATATATGTAAAAATTCAGCACAAAAATAAGGTACTTGATCATCATTAGACCTTTGTGAAAATCTTTATTTTTACATAAGTGTTCATTTATTTCTTAATAACTTTACACTTCATGTGTTTGGATTGCATGCTCATGATTTTCACATATAGAAAATGAATATAATTCTACTTACATTGCTTTTTTTCTTTTGTCTTTTTTTTTTTGTTTGGCCAATCATTGTTTGTCTACTTTACATGACAAATTTGTATACAAGATTAGCAATTAATTATGTGATGTTATCATCAAAATTATTGTTCACAACTTTATCTTTTCAATTCCATTATTCTTCCAATTGTAACATAACTTATGGAGATCTCTCTTTATTACTTTCAAGTACCTAAACCTCTTTTAGACCTTTTAGAATTAGTTATGTCTTAATCATCTTCTAGATTGTATACTTGCTCAATATGATTATCTTAATTATATGCTCCTCTTTTAACAAGATTTTGTACTAGGAACCAATTAATCTCTCATCCTTTAGGCATATCTCATTTTTATCTACTCTAATTGAAGCATTTTTAGCTGGAACATGAAATTTAATAATTTTCATACAAGTCAGTGATTGTATTTGGTAGATTCTTTTATGATATTTTAGGAATGTAACATTTGATGAACTCTTGATTTATATTTTTACATTTAAAGATTTAAATAAAATAATGTGATAATGCATTTCGTATATTTTTTTTCTAGTTACTCATTTTCTCCCCCTTATGTTAGGAAAATTGTCAAATGATAACAATTAGCTAATCATGCAATATAAGTCTTCTAAATTCATTTGTTTCCTTTATAAACATTTCTTTATTTCATTTAGAAACAAACATGAAGGAGGAGGTTCTTATCCAACATTATCCCAAATTTTCATGATAGCCATCTATATCCAGTGTGGTGGAACAATGATAATAAGCATTGCACAATCAAAGATTATAAGATGGCATATACTTGGCTTCTGATCAAAAACCAATTTTCAAAAAAAGAAATTTATAATACCTCATTAGTTTAATGTGTATTGTACTATAGTTTGTAAAATCAAATATTCTAAATTAACAATGAAAATTTTGTTCTCATAAACATTGATCTAGCTATTTGTAGAGGGGACTTTAACGAATGATTTTGCTAGATCACTTTTTAAATAGGCTTTTTCAAAGTTTGAAATATAAATTACTAGCATTCCTAACTAAAATTGTCTTTATCATGTAGTTTGGAAATTGTATGCTTTTATATAATGATTTATGTATATAACCTTGCAAATTTCAAGTTGCAAAAACATAATATAGATTTGCACTATTCACATGCTATCTAATGGCCTATATATTTGAATTTTTTATAATTTCAAAAATGAATAGATCCATTATCAATCATAACTAGTGAACACCTTATATTTTCTTTGAGAATAAGCAGCATATAATGTCCTCAATTTCAAATCTTAAAATTTCAAGTATTTAAGAGGATAAATTGGTAAATTTAAGTGAATTTTAAACTAACTATGCTTTTGAAAGCCTAATAATAATTTTTAAATCATTGGATAGTCTTATAAAAAGGCTAAGTTGAAGTTTAAGTGGGTCGGTCCACATAAGGGTCTAAAAATCACATTGAACCAGTTTGTGCCATGTACCGCAGTAGACATGCAAAAATTTGCACTTACCAAACTTGCAAAACTGGACTAAAAAATAGAAGAGAGAAAGAGAAAAACACAAGGGGGTGATGGTGAGTAACTTGTGGGTGTTAGGGCTGGATTTTGGGAGCAACTTGGGAGCATTTAGAGCAAGATTCATAATTGGATAAACTTTCCACATCTCTCCCTCTCCCTTTATGTGAATTTCTAAGGGTTTGGGGTAATGTAAGACTTGAATTTGGCTTTTCTTGAGTTGTGACCGAACCCATTACCTTAGTTAAGATCTTAAAAAGTTAAATCAAGCTTCTAATCCTAGATTTATGGATTGTGAAGTGATTTAAAGTTTTTAGGTAAGATTTGGACAAACCCTAAATAAAAATTGAAAGAAAAGAGCAATGTGGGTAAAGATTTGAGGCTATTAGTGTATTTGGGTGTTAAATGAGATTAATGGAGCGTATGGAGACTTGATGTTGTAAAATTAAAGTTTTAGATATAATGGGTCTCAAAATAGTGTTAAAAAGGGGGTTAATTAGAGTGAGAATTGATGAATTAATGTTTAATCTTGTAGATTAAAAATTGGTCGGGCATTTTTACGCTAGTGGATACATTTGGAGTTAAGTCTTAACCACAATAACCCTTTTAATGATGAAAGAGTTAAGGTAATTGGATTGTCTAAATTCTCTATTTGTGTGTTTGGATGGTTGTGTGGTTATATTTAAAGCTAATACTTTTATTTTGTATTAGTATAGTATTAATATGAAATGATTATGATTTAGAAAATGGAAATTGTGTTTAAACATTGTGGATTTGAAAAACTACACCCTATATTCAAGTATAATTAATTGCAAAATTTTATAGTTAAGTGAAAATGATCATTTTAGAGGACATTACATCTTATAATTATGTGTGAAAATTATTGAGTATATATTTAGCATGATCATTGCAAGAGGGTGGAAGTTTGCCCTAGTGTAGTATTGGGGACATTGTTTAAAAATTTATATGGTACACTGGCACCGTGGAGACCTTAGTGCACAGTTTTATATTTGTTTGAAAGTCCTAATACTATGTGAGATAGATTAGGCATTGCTATCCCATGTATTCATGAATAGGGAGAATTTATGGTTTATAGTGGATGAAGACGCTTTTGGCCAAGGCTACCTCTTATGATTGGCGAGTTTGAGCCAATCCAGTCACATGGATTTAATCAGTTCACAGATTCAGTCAGAAAAACTAAGGAGAGTATAAGAAGGAATGTTGGTTATGCATATCATTGTATAGTCAAATGGTTAAGTAAAAATATCATTATCTTAACTATGGCAATCCACCTTTTCCAATTCCAATATATATAATTAATCATTATTGACTAATACATATATTGATATATATTGATTTTTACAAAACATATATGGTTATTACCTTGCTCATAAACAAGCTAAATTTGCCGATCTTTTATATTGGTTAATATTATATAAGTTTCATCAAATACTAGTTGTCAGGATTACAATAAAAATAATTTTCAAATCCATCAAATCTTCTCATGGTATAAAATATTTAAACCATTAGCCTTTAGGATTATATTATTTATAGCCATCAAATAGCTAAATTGCCAATAAACCCTATAATTAAGGGTGTTCATAGGTTTGGTTTGGTTTGGTTTTGGGCAAAAACCAAACCGAACCGAACCATTCGGTTTACTGATAATTGAGACCTGATCGGTTTTTATGAAGTTCGGTTTGGTTCGGTTTTATTTTCGGTTTGATTCGGTTTGGTTAAGGTCTTGATCAAGTTTTAATGCACTTATTTAATTTTTTTCCTTTTCTCCATCTTCATAATGGTGCTATGTACTAAAATTAAATTTAATTCTTTTTGACTCCTTTTTTTTTCATAAATAGAGGTATAAAAATGTAATAAAATTTCAATGTGATAACAATAATTAATCATAAAAATTGATATAAGTTTTTAAGATTAAAATTATTTAATATTATGTATTTTATTAAAATCCTTTGAAAATGTTTATCTATGTGTCTATATTTTAATAAATAATGAAAAATTTATTATACAAAATTCAAAATAAAATATTTCCTGTAGATAAATTGAATGCTGAGACTTTTAGGTTGTAAATAATTAAATGATGATCATAGCATGATTATTATAATTACTTAATATTATACATTTTCATTCAAGTATTTTAAAAATATTTATTTATTACTATAAAAAATTCAAAACAAAATTCTTCTTGTAGATAAATGGTTATATATTTTACAAATAAATAAATAAAATTTTTTTAATCAAGTTTGGTTCGGTTTCTAGTACTCAAAACCGAACTTAAACCGAACCAATCGGTTTTTATATCATAAAAACCGAAGCAGACCTGATTGTTGTTCGGTTTTGATCAGTTTTTGTCGGTTTGGATTGGTTTGGATCGGTTCTTTCGGTCTGGATCGGTTTTGAACACCCTTACCTATAATGATCTTCAAAATCAGAATCTATATGACTTCTGGCCATTCAATCCCAAGATGAATATACTATGGTTTTATCAATCATCTATTAACACATATTCAATACTTTTTCATTGGAGTAATAAATAATTATCAAATTAATAATCACAATCATATGATAAATAAGAACTTTTAATAATTAGTGAGGAACTCTTGAAGTCTATGCCTCATGCAAATTAATTAGAGACTTGTGCTGATAATGTGTTATGAATAAAATATATAAACTACAAATGAGAAAAAAGAAGAGAAGATGAAGAAAGAATATAAGAAATAGAAATGAGATAAATTCTCTTGTATTCTCTTTCATTCTTTGTAATACAAATAACATATCCTATTTATAAACATCATCTTACATCAATGATTATACAAATGATAATGAAAAATAAAAAGTAATCTATGCTCATCAAATGGTGGGAGGTTCACAGGAGATGAAAGGGTGAAGGTGATGGACATCTATATGATTTTTAATATTCATAATAAAAATCACTTATTTTTTAATTTTAAAAACAAACAAGCCATTGACAATGATTACTATGTTTAAAAAAAAAGAAAATAAAAAGGTTAAAAAAAGTATGTTTCCAACATCTCAGCCCAGTTTTGACCCAAAAAAATGCCCGAGCCCAAAAGAAAATAGTGAAATGAGTATATTCGTCATTTAACAAACTAGGGTTTCATTCTTTCTGCATAACGTATAGAGGCTCTCTCTTCCGGCTTCCTACTCTCTAAGAAGAAAGTTCCACGGTGGTCCTATTCGGAGCCATGTCTACCACCACAACCGCTGCCGCTCCTCCGCGCCAGCTCTCCCAGAAAGAGGCTGACATACAGATGATGTTGGCCGCCGAGGTCCACCTCGGAACCAAAAATTGCAACTTCCAAATGGAGCGATATGTGTTCAAGCGCCGCAATGATGGTTTGTGTTGAATTTTCAGATGTCTGAATACATCAGTTGATGAAATGGAGCATTTTAATTACCAATATTTTTTTTACTGAGTTTTCATTACTGACAATCAAAGTGTACCTCTTTGAGGCTGCGTTGATAAAATTGCCCTGTTTCTATGAATCACCGATAATTTAAAACGGGACTCGAAATACGTTCTGTTGTGCATTGACTCTTCTGACACACTTACGTTGCATTTGAAGTTTACATATTTGATGTCTCAGTGTAGGTGTAAATATCGGAGCTTTGGTAGGGTTGAAATATTTTCACGTTGCAGTACGCCGAAAATGTTTAGCTTGGTCACTTCATTGTATTCTTTTTGAGGATTACATATATATTCTCATTGATGCAGAAATAAACAATCATTGTAGGGATAATATTTCAGCCGAGAATCTTTACGTAGGCCATAAGCCTCTATAAATTTAGTGCAAGGCTAAGGATCTTTACTTCTAGATAACCAGATCATATATCCGTTGTTGTTAACATTCATTTAATCACAAGAATTCTTTTATAGGTACTTATGGGTAGATACTTATATTTGTCTGGAAATATGAAGGAAATGTACTGGGCATGACCTGGGGACTGCTCATAACGTACTTGTGTGATAGTGTACTTGAATTTTGATGTGTCATACCTTTGAAGTTTTTAATTTATTTAGTCTTAAAAAATAAATTCATTTTTAAATGTGGAATTTTGACTGTTACTGGTTGATTTTGGTTATTCTGGTAATCAGCTATCTACATCATCAATCTTGGAAAGACATGGGACAAGCTTATGCTTGCTGCCAGGGTTATTGTTGCCATTGAGAACCCTCAAGATATTATTGTTCAATCTGCTAGGCCTTATGGCCAAAGAGCTGTTCTCAAGTTTGCTCAATACACTGGTGCCCATGCACTTGCTGGGAGACACACTCCAGGAACCTTCACTAATCAGCTCCAGACCTCGTATAGTGAGCCTCGCCTTCTAATTCTAACCGATCCAAGGACTGACCATCAGGTCATTATTTCTTTATGAGTATTTATAAGATGTCGTATTTGGATGAATAAGTTTAACTTCTGATTGTAGTCAAGCTTTTTATTGTCATTTGCTTCTCATACTCACATTTATGTGCAGCCCATCAAGGAAGCTGCTCTTGGAAATATACCAACTATTGCTTTTTGTGACACTGATTCACCTATGCGATATGTTGATATTGGGATTCCTGCCAACAACAAGGGGAAACATAGCATTGGTTGTCTGTTTTGGCTTTTAGCAAGGATGGTACTGCAGATGCGTGGTACTATCCGTCCAGGGCACAAGTGGGATGTGATGGTAAAGTATTTGCTGCTTTTATTATGGATTATTTAGAAAGGAAGGTCGTTTAACATTTATAGTTAATGACATCTGTTGCGAGAGGCCTGTATCATAAATGCATCCCTGGTTTTTCGGTAGAAGTATAGGTCATTGTCATGGTGCTTGTTTTGCTCAACTATCTCAAAATTTGCCTTTTCATTTGAAGAAAGTAGCTTTATTTGCTGGTTTCCTTCAAATTCTCGCATGTCTCTGATCTTCTGTCATGCAGGTGGATTTATTCTTCTATAGAGAACCTGAAGAGACCAAGCAACTAGAGGAAGAGGAGGCACCTCCTGTCCAAGATTATGCTGCTGCAGATTTCGGTGCTGGTATTGGTGCCATTGCTGATGGCCAGTGGCCTGTTGCAGCTGAACAATCATGGACTGACACAGTTCCACAACCTATTCCAGCAGCTCCTGCTGCCAGCTGGACCCCAGAAGCTGGTAAGTTTTTGTACTTGATTAAATTTGGTTGACTGGTTCCTTAGTCATGCTAGGTTAAATCTTATGTGTGTTTCCTATGATTATTTGAGATTAAATCCGGCTTTGATACCTTTCCCTATGGTTGGCGTTGAAAATTGTTTACTTCAGTTTCCTTCTTTACTCCCCCCCTTCCCCAAATTATAAAACAATTTGAGACAAGATTACATATTCCAATAAAACACAATAGGGACACTTTACAAACTTACTTTTTCAGAGCAAAACTATATCCTACACACTTAATCATTACTCCCTTCAGTCCTATTTGTAGGACACCTTCTAAAAGTAATTTTTGGTCTAAAATATAGGACGTCTTGTAATAATTAAACCACTTTTTTCAATTTTACCTTTTTTGATTTACATGAATGTATTTAATGTAGTGATATCATGATTTAAAGCCAAGGGTACAAATGAACATTTCATTTTTTTTTATGATATTAAATTTCAAAATTAACTTTTCTTATGATATGTGAAACGGTTAAAAGTGTCCTATAATAGGGACTAGAGAGAGTGCGCTGCAAATTATTTCAATTCTCTACTAAAAAGGTAATATTGGAAAAGTATTATTAATAAAACTTCATTTTTATCAAATTGTCTTATGTTTTGAGATAGTGAAATTCCTTCAACGTTGTCTTATAATTTGGGACGGAGGGAAAACTATGCAACAAATCCCATGTGGTGAACAAAAAAAGAGAATATCTGTTATTTATAAATTAAATTATGAAGCAAATGTGCCTGTTTCTATTATTCAAGGTTTTTGTATTTGGCGTTTGCTGAACTAAGTTATTATTGCAGGGGATTGGGGTGAAGCTGCTCCTGCTCCACCAGTTCCTGTTCCTGCAGGGGATTGGGGTGAAGCTGTTCCTGCTCCACAAGTTCCTCTTCCTGGAACTGAACACGTTACTGCTACTGGTTGGGAGTAAACTTCATACAAGAGTTTTGATTGCCCTTTTTTTTCCTTTTTTTGTTTCCTTGTGTGGAAGGAAACATTTTATGCTGCGCCACTTGTTTGAGTCCGGATGATACATGTGACGTTGTCTATTTACGAAATATATTTTTCTAGGCTAATATAAATGTTGGATGATGTCTTCAGTGCTCGTAAAATGACATGCTGAGTATTTTTATTTATGATTTTCACGAAAATAATATTGGAGGGAAATTGGTTTCGCCTTTCCTGATCATGCACACTAAAATCAACCTTTCAAGTCATGTTTTTGCCCCTGTTCTCAACTTTGCACCGGGTCCATGAAACATCAAAAAAGAGCATACGTAAGTTAACAAAAAAATTAAGTATACTTTAATTTAATTATATTTTAAATAGCATTTTGTTTTCGAAGGGATCACTCGTGCTCATCTACATATTCTGTGGCCGAAAAACAAAATCTATATATTTGTTCTTTCCCTACGGGAAAAGGTGACCATTCTCTTGGTAAAGAGTGATATCCTCACTCAATAAACTCACATTCCTCTCTATGGAATCCATCATCTCTTTTTAGGAGGGTGTGTGGTGCTATTGAGCTAAAAATTCTTGACGATAAATATTCCAGAAACGTTATGGTACTGGAGAAGTACAACAGACTATTTAGCACAGGATTTGTGATTTGAAGGATTTTGATGTCAACAAGACCCTGAAAAACAATCAGGAAAAGAAGAAAAACGTGAGAAGTAGAGAAGACTTCTCATTTGATTCTTGTCAATACTGCTTAGCATTCAAGTAGAAAAGAGTATATCCACAAGTAACAACCCGTGAACATGGCACACAGTGACACAGACAAACAAGACAATAGAATCATTCCTTTGGTTTAACATGCTGATTAGTATATGACTATTAGCTGGCTTAAACTGCTATCCAGAGGGGGGGGGGCTTTGGATTCAGGGGCAGAGCCATATTTTACTGAGGTGGCTGGAATTAAAAGTAATATGGTATAATGTTGGCTAAATGTTAATACCCATATAATGCTAAGAAAAAATTGAAAAATTAAGGGGGTCAAATCCCTTGCCAGTCTCTTCTCTTTCCGCCGTTGATTGGACTCTCCAATACAGAACTTGCATTCTTTTAGATCACCTTCCATGGAATGTGATAGCTTCAGCTCAGAGCTTCTTCAATGCTGCTTTTAAGTGTGGTTGAAGACCTACTGTATTGGTAGCCATCTGAACTTCATAACAAAGATTCCCATCAACCAGCTGGAACAGTCGTCTTATCTCCCTAACCTGTACAGAATGACTAATGAATACGTTATAATTTGCATCGCATTTTGCACTACTATAACCAGACAGGGTTGATAGCAAGCTAATGGTTGATCTAACCTAAGAGGACTTGTATATGTGTGTGTGTGTGTGTCAATCTATGAATGGATGTATACTGCATAGTATCTCTCAGGTAAAGTTCAACACAGCAAAGGAAAAAACATGGAAGAAGCTTCCGTGCAGTTTTTAGATGTTTATAATCAAGTTCTTTCAAAGTATCATGACATTTGGAGAAATATTTTTCACGGAGTCAATAATGAAATGTTGAATCTTTTTAAAAAAAAAAAAAAACAGAAAAGAATTGTTAGAATTTTTTTTCTTTACAAATATTCATTATGCTAAACCACTTCACTAACTGGTTCATCTTCAAAATAAAACCTAAACTGTAAACCCTGGCACCGTTTTTCTCCCTAGGGGAAAAAAAACTCTCAACCTAAGTGTATGATTTGCAAACTGTACATAAATGAACAGAACCACTTGCATTGTCGTATTGTTGAAAGACCAATTTCATTACCTTAGAAGCATTCCCCACCGTTTCACTCTGAAGTTCTATCACCTTCTCCTTTGCACTATATGTCCCTTTCTGGATGACATGATATGCTAGGGGCCATCAGAAGAAGTAAAAAGAGATAAAAAAGAACTGAATGAAAAAGAAAAAGAAACTAAGATCTTATTTCTGAACCTAGTGGTAACAATAGTTAAGGTTTTATGTGCAAATGCAACAATAGTGATAGAAAACTAGCCAGCAGTGCACAAAAGCAATTTATCAAAATGACTACTGCAAATGATCACAAACAACCAGGAGCATGCTGGAGCTGAGTAATGGAATTTCCTAAGTGTAGGAATATGTGCCTATTATACCTAGGTTTTTTATAGTTGGACAAGGTAGGAATTAATTCAAACATTGAGACTACTTTTGATAAATTGAAAGAGATTCCCCCCCCCCCCAAAAAAATACATGGAAAGAGATTTAGGCAAAGAAAAAAAAAAAGTAAGAAAGTAATTTTACTTTGTTTGATAATTGCTTAAATTAACTTTCTGAAGAAGAAAACTTCCCATGTTTATGAGATAGAGCCTTTTTGATTCTCATTCTCTTTTTATTTTGTACCAAACAAACTCTTCTATACTGGAAATGTTTGTCAAATGTTTCCCCCATCTCTTAATATAGGTCCCAATTTTCATCTTTCTTTTGTCTCAAACACAAGTCCTAATGCAGATTTTTAGGTGTAATCAATGCATGTTTTTTAAAAATACCCCTCACAAAAAAATCAAAATTACCTATCCCACCTTTGATATTTAAAAATGTACTATTTCTCGTGGTATTTAATTGAGGATAAGAATGAAAATCAAAAACATATTTTTACATATCACATATTTTTTAATATTTTATCAATTTGTGTGTTTTTAAAATTAGGACTTATGTTAAGGGACGGAAGAAGTATTTAACTCGACAATTCTTCAAGTGTATAGTAACTTCTTAAGGCGTATTTACTAATTCAGGTTGTGCATAGACATTATAGAAACAGCAGAGGGATATTTTCATCAAGCTATTCTTGTGCTGGTTCGGCTAACACAGACCCACCAATCAATATTTGCCAAATATGACTCGAAGCATTCAAGTTCAAACTTATTAAAGTTACTAATTAATTTTATTGCTGTTTCACTCGTTTGTGAATGCATTATTCGCGGATTACGTGGCAGCCTAATCCTACAAAATAAATCCATTCTCACCCACCAGTTAACTAGCATCTAAAACAAAGACAAGTACGAAATAAAGCAGGCCATTTGTCGAACAGTTTATCTGCGACTGACAAATTTACAAAACTAAGTATAGATGTTAAAGCATTCTCACTAATAATAAGACACAGTACCTGAACTTCAACAAGACCAGTGCTCTGAGCAATTACAACTTCAAGGGTACCATCGGGCTTTGGACGCCAATATCCACTCTCGGCGTGCATGGGCTCGCCAGAATTGAGTTTCCAAGTCTTCTGATTATACCCAATGACGGGCTTGTCTCATGTCGTACACAACAAAGAAAAACACAAGTCAATTCTTCAATTAAAAAACAAAATTCTAGTCTTCATCCCTGAGCTCTCACAGATTCACAACCCAACCCATGAAAAAAAATACATATGAGCAGTTAAATCAGATACCTTGTTCCCAGAATGGGAAAACTGAAGCTCTTCGCCATAAGAGAATGAATTTATGGTGGGGAAGCCGCCTTCTCCCTGGCCTCTCCATGATCCCAGAAGGAAGGAAACTGGTTCCACTGCTGGATGCGACAGCGGCGGTTCCGGCGAGCCCTTGTTTCCGTCCATTTGCTCTCTGACTCTTGTTCTATCTTCCTGAGTTTACGAAGCTGGGAAATCTAATTTTCGTCGGCAAAAGGCGCTATGGGCTCATTGCAGGGATAATTAAAATTAGTGTCGTGGAAATTTATGGGTTCAATATTTTTTTGAACTAAAATTTAATTTTATTTTTATACTTATTTTTTAAAAATATTAGATATTTTATATTTTTAAATGAGATAATTTTTTTACAGTATTTTTTTGAAGTTCAAGAATGCCATTCTATTAAGAAGTTGTTAAGCGTTTTATTTTTTTTATTTTTTGCTAACATTAATGTGTGTGAAGCTTATGCATAATAAACAATTTTGACTATATTTTTTATATTAATTTGCTCTTAAAAGCATCGAACATTTTAAAATTTTTTTTTTGAAGCATTAAGAACCTTAAAATCTTATTAAAATAAAAATTTATAAATATCATCAAAATATTAAATATTTTTATATTAAATAATTTAAATATTATTATTTATAAATATTCATTCAAAATTTATAAATTATTTTTTAAATATTAAAAATTTAAACTAATATTTTATAAATATATAGATAATTTTTTATTTTTTATATATCAATGTTCAATCTTCTTAAGATAGTGTATAAATTATTACACCTTTTGTGCGTGTCAAAACTTATTTATATTTTTAATATTAGTTAAGTTTTTAAAATTTTTAAATCATTTTTCTACAATTATTTTGATCAATTAACGATCTTCCTCTAACATATTGCAACATTCAAATTTAATATTTTTTGTACATTATAGTGTTAGAAATAAAATCATAAATATAATAAATCAGGATCAATAATATATGAATAAAAATATTAATTTAAAAAATATCGCTCATTAATGTACTATAAAAAGAGTTACTTGACAAAATAAAAATAATAAGAAAAATTCCATTCTTAATTCAGAAGTTTATTCCCTTCATTTTTAATGTAAAATTACAAAATGTAAAAAATATTAAAATATTAAATTAGGTGATATAATATTTTGAATAAAGTACTTAATATTTTAATAATATTTATTTTATTTTAATAAAATTTTAAGGTGTTTATCGCTCTTAAAAATATTTTAAGGTGTTTAATACTTTTAAAAAAGAATTCAAGAGCAAATTAGTATCACATAATATGATCAAAGTCTTACATTTCACTGTATGTGGACCCGCATGTGCCATGTCAGTAAAAACCAAAAAATTTAATTGTTGATTAATAGAAGGGTTTTTTGTTCCTCAAAAAAATAATTTAAGAATAAAATTACTTCACTTAAAAATATGGGTCCTCAAGGTTATGAAAATATAAGTACAGGAATAAAATTGAATTTCAACTCCCAGTTTTTTTGTAATAAGAAAATAAATTTTTTTAATATAGTTATATGATATGTGAATAATATTTGGCCAAATGTTTTTTTTTTTTGCCAATATATTTGGCCAAATTCAAACATTATTAACCTTTAACGTTTAATTAATTTAACTCTACCAAAAACGTTTTACACTTGGTTTTTTATATCAAGGTATTTTAATTTTTTTACAAGACTAAACTTAAAAAAAATAATATTTTTATGAAATATATCAAACTATATCCAAATTATGACTTATAAATAACATTGATAATCTTAGTTTTCTCCTTCATTTTTATTTCGTAGGATGGCTAGTCGTATTGCATTAATATTCTAATAATTTGATCAAAAAATACTCTAATAATTTTTTAAAAATTTCTTTTTGATTTGGAAGCTTTATCAATTTGATTACTTGTTTTTCTCGAAATTTTACTTTGGACTTTTCTTTTATTCGATGCTAATTTTATCACCAGCTCTTTTTTAATAAAATATTATTATGTATATATATATAGAAGGGACTAAATCCAAAGTTATTGTGCACTCATGTATACTACTTTCAATTTTTACCATAAAACACTTTTAATTATTTTATATATTTAAAAAAAATTAATTTTTTTATATCATAAAAAATTTATATATACTTTTATCATTATACTTAATTATAAATAACGACATAACTATATTAGATATTTTTATATTAATAAATAATTTAAAAAACTAATATAATTATTATAAAATTTCTTATATTTTAAATTAAAAATTTTTTAAAAAATATTTTATATATAAAATCGGAAGTAATAAGAGTTATTTTGCGCTCTCTCTCTCTCTCTCTTTTGTTATAAGAAAAACTACTAGTCGCTTGTTTTTGTTTCCGTCTATTTTACTTTATTTTAATTATTTTATTTTATTGACTATAATATAGGGGCGTTCTCAATTGATTTCTTCCCCTTCCCAAAGTCCCACTGGTTCAATTCCGAAGAGGCCTCCGGAGTCCAGAAACTAGACGACCGCGACCAGCCACGGCCACGGCCAGGACCACGACGAGATCAGTGCACCTAACTCCGGCACAGCTACCGCACTTTTCCATTCAGGTTTGTCGTTCACTCTCTTCTCCTCCCCACCCAACCTGGGAATCGAATTACTTGGTTCCTTACTTTAGATTTCTTCGCCATTTTCATGTATTAGTTTGAAATCTCGATTCACTAATATCAGATATTTGGATTGAGAAACAATAGGTCATTGTGAAACCTGCAGAATTCATTTGTTGTGGATGAATTGAATCTACAGTTCGGTTAGGTTTCATGGTTGTGGGGCTCTATGAGCTTGCTTCTTATAATTTCCAAAAATGTGTTCTTTTTTTTTTTTTGGGTGTGGGACTTTATTGGCTACTAATCTGAAATTATAAAAGGGAAAAGTTCTCACTTTTTACTTCATGCATAAATCTCTGCAGCTGACACACCATTTTCCCCTGGTACGTGGATAAGGGCGAACAAGGAGAATGAACAAAGGTGGACCAGCGGGTGGAGGAGTATTGGGGAGTGGAATTGGAGGTGTTGCTGGAAGCGGGCCCACGGCCGCAGCGGCGGCAGCTGCTGCTCAGAAGCAAAAGACTTTGTTACAAAAAGTAGAAGGCGACATTGCCAATATTGTGGATAATTTCAGCCACCTTGTTAATGTTGCTAGGGTATGTTTGATTACATTCGTTTATCCTACAACTCACCCTTGAATTGTATTCTTGTGATAAGTGACGGTCTGGGTATGAGAAATATTTCTCTGATTGGCATTTTTTTTCTACATGCTGGGAATTTAGGCGTGGAAGTGGAATATATAATCCCTGACATCAAAATTTAAAATACTTGAGATTAGAAAACTTTCTACCAATCTTGGAGTCACCATGAACGCCACCTTTGTTACTCTTGTGCTTAAAAGGATAGATCTATAAAGATGAAGGATTGTATCCCCATTAATTTGCTTGGTTATCAGTGTGTATCAGCTCATCTCATCGCCAAGGTTCTCTCTAATAGATTGAATGAAGGTTTATCTTATACCATTTGTGAGAGCTGAAATGCATTTATGTCCATGAAAGATAGCTGGATTTTGGGGGGCATCACTTGTTGTGAATGAGGTGGCCGCTGATATGAGAAGGAGAATTTGGGGGTTGATATTCAAGCAGTATTTTGAAAAATTTATGATTGTGAATATTTTTCTTTCTCAAGGTTCTCTGTTGAAAAGGCTTTGGATTCAATGATACAGTTTGATAATGTACAGTCTTGTTCCTTTTGGTTTACCAATCTTCACCTCCTAAAAATAGTTTTTCTAACTATTGGGAGTGTGACTCTATTCTTGTGTGATTGACTAATTGATCATTTGCCAATGACATGAGTTGCAGTCTTGGCTTCTTCCTTTTTTTCCCCCCTTTTGCCCCAACTTGCTAGTAACCTGTGCGCTAATAAAATGCATCTGTGTGATCGTACTCATTTCAAGTGATATTTCATTCCTGCAGGTAAATGAGCCGCCAGTTAGAAATTCACAGGAAGCTTTCATGATGGAAATGCGTGCTGCTAGAATGGTAGGATTGAAGTTCTGACTATTCTATTCTTCTATGCAAACATCGAATGCTTTTTCTTCCAAGTAATTGCGTCATAATTCTAAGGATTATTGGGGGGAAAATCCATCTACCAGTTTCTTCCTTACTTTTGTACTAGAAGTGCCAAGGAATTTATGCGCCTTGAAACTACGTGCATATATCTCACATATTACAATCTAGTGCAGTCTTGTTGCATGTTGTAAAATTATAATCAAACTATGGATATTATTCCATTGTGCATGTTATGTCTTATTTATAACCAGTGCTTTATGAAAAAGAAAGTCATAACGGTAGCCCTTTGATCATATGCTATGAGTTTGTTTGGCCTTGTGACAGCATCAGTGCCATAGCTTTACCTAAGTTGTAAGGTCCTGATTTTTGTCTTGCGTTGGTCAACAACACAGGTCCAAGCAGCTGATTCACTACTTAAATTAGTGTCAGAGTTGAAGCAGACAGCAATTTTTTCAGGATTTGCTTCTCTTAATGACCATGTTGAGCAAAGAGTGGTTGAATTTAACCAGTTAACAGAGAAAACAGACAGAATATTATCTAGGATTGGAGAAGAAGCTGCTGCTAGCCTTAAAGAGCTTGAGTCTCATTATTCTTCTTCTACACAGAAGAATATTGACGGCCTAGAACCATGACTGATACTCTCTCTGTTCATCCACCTTGCACCTCTAACTCGCAGAAGAATATTTTCAAGCGCCTAAATAGATGAGTTTTTCTGTTTTCAGAGGAAGTTTTCTTCGTTTAAATTACTGGAATTTAGGACTAGGTATAATCAACCGGTATATCATTTATTATGTGTACAATGTACGGTCGATTGTGGCACATGGAATGAGGAACAAAATTTAGCTTTGTACCCCATGTGTACTCAAGAAACATAATAACTTTGTAGTCAATTCAAGCGGCTTTGTATCCCATAACGTTTTTTAATAAATTGTTTAGGTGTATCAAATTTCAATGTTTTCTGGAAACTCCGGTATCCCAGGTCTTTACATTTAATGCTGAGAAAACATTGAACTATGTTCATAATTGATACGGGTGTTGATCAAGAGTTGTTTCTCAATTTTAACTCCATGTTACATTGATTGTCTGCAATGCAGCCAGAGACAAAAGACGATGAGGTAAGGAAAAGTAATTTTTTTTTTTTTTTATAAACCAACGAAATCCCACTCTGTGACTCTTTCTTCAAATATATAATTGCATGAATGTTGAAAAGGAAAATAATGAAAATAAAGACACTAAAAGAGAGTAAGTATTTGTAAGCATAGATCTGGGTCCATTCTTAATAATGGGAGTAAAACAGAGGTGCATAGCAGACTCATCAAAATTTAAATGTATCGCCATAACTTAAATCCGAGATAAGTGCAATGACATCTTTATGGATTTCTCATCATGAAAAAAATCCATTAATCATACCCACATATCAATCTATACGGCCCATGAATGATCTAAATGAAAATGAATCCCTCAGTGGTCTCTAAAGATTTCTTTCAAATGATGCTTCTCGTATTCTTATATGTTGTCTTCAGGGAAAAGATTCAATATCCAAGAAAGATCATAACTTAATATCACACATTTCATAGATCAATACCAAGATAGAAGGAGACTGAAATGGAAAAAAAAAAAAAAAAAAACAAAAAAACAAAACAAAACAAAACAAAAAAAAAAAAACAAACAAGCAAACAAACAAAACAAAAAAGAAAAAAGAAAAAGAAGGATTTGGCTACGTGGAAGTTGGAGCATTGTTGGTGGTTACAATGGCAATTAAGCCATTGTTTCAGAGACTAAGACGCCTATCCATTCGTCTTCCCAGGTATGACCATTTCTTCTCTCTCTGTTTTCCTCTCCTGTTAAACCCCGTGCTCTGATTCCAAAACAAAAATTGACTGGACAAAAAAAAAAATTCGATATTTCTGTAATAAATTATGGATTTTTCCTAATTGTGGTTCTGTTTCTATCTCCTTCTCTTTTGCTTCCAAAAGTCTTTCTTATGTTGCAATCAAGAAACCAACTCATCTTCCATATCCTCATCTGTCATTTCCTGCCAAACCATTAACAACCACCTTCACATTTCACATTTTAGCTTTGGCTTCAATCAATTTACGTCTCTTTCTTTGACTTCCATTTCTTTCTCCAATTCAAAAGAAGAAGAAGAAGAAGAAGAAGTAGAAGCTCTTGTGGCTCTGTTTCAGGATTATTGCTGTCATTTTGAGTTCAGGTTTGTCCTGATTTCTCTAAATTCTGTTAACAACATTTTTTTTCGGCCTGCTGTTAACAACTTTTGGTTTATGTCCAATTGTCTTTATGTCATTAATAAAATATTTTAAATGATTTGGCTTCTCATTATCAGATATATACTTCATAAGCATGCTTGGTCATTGACCAGAGGAAGCCTGTTTGTTTGCGTCTGATTTTATTACATGCTCGCCATGAATTGAATTGTAGCTCTTCCCGTCCTTGACATTTAGATTTGTGCTGTACATGATCAACGCTAAGCCCATTTAAACACTACTAAAGAAATATGTATAAAACATAAAATTATAATAAAATAAAAATTATATCTATTATAGTCCTGTTTTTATTTTCTTTCAATTAATAAAACTTACTTAATTCTTTCGAAACTTTTGTGATGAATTTTCAATTTAAACAATCAAAGAAAATTGTGTTCTAAATTATTGTTTCCTTCTTTCTAAAACTTTATTTTTTGTTTAAGGTTATTGCTCATAAATAAGATTTTGGTCAAATAATTTTTTCACAGAATAAGTGAATTTTCTTATGGAGCCACATGAATTTTCTTCTTAATTTATGAAGGCAATTGCCTCCATTACCTTACACGAAGGTCCGTCCTAGGACCCAACCCCTTTCTTTCTCTTTATATTTCAACAAGAGTGAATTATTTCAAAGAATTTGGATTGAATATCTGGTTTTAAGTTTGTGGAACGGCTTACATCTATTTGATATGATTTCTAGTCAAGATTTTTTCAACATTTTTATGCACTTGTGTTTGTTGGCAGAAAATTTCTCGAGGGCTGATTTATTTGAGGTAAGGGCTCCCATGTCTCTTTATCTCAAAACACCAACACCTTCTCAAGAACAAAAAATGTCACTAATGGATGCTTGCTTGCTTGATTTGGACCAAATAACTGTTTAATCAATAACCTTCATAGCCTATTTTTGGCTATAGACTGAAAGAAAATAGTGAGTTAGTAGAAAGAGAGTCAATTCTAACATACTTCACTCTTTTGTGTCATACTTTTTCATAAATATATGGTACATGTTATTACATAGAATCACAATCTATATATGGCTTCCCTGTGATACCTAACACATGTTTCACTAAGAAGATTATTTTACAAGATATTGAAAGAGACTGGACAATTATTTTAAACTAACAAGCTAGGGATTTTGATATGGGGTTCTGTTTTGAGATTTTCCCTGTATTCTCTAGAACTAGTTGTAAACTCTCCTCTTTCTGATAAAATTTCTACCTTGCATTAAGATGAAAGACGATTTTCCATTGGGTGGTATTGATACAGCATGTGGTTCCCCAAGGCATCTCAAAAAGCCAAACCAAGCTGCCAAAAAGCCAACTGAATCCCAGAAAACAGAACTACACAGCAAGAAGATGACGTCTGCAAATCCTGATCCTCAAGCTACCTCATCTACAGTAACCACGGGAATCACAAGGGGTTTACCTTCACCTTCAAGAACCAACAATCATGGCTATAGCAGTGGCAATAGCTCACGTAGTGACAGTTTAGAAAGCACAAGTGGTGCACCCATTAAGCCACATACTGGTGGTGATGTAAGGTGGGATGCCATTAACATGGTTTCCAGAGGAGCCCCTCTTGATCTTAGCCATTTTCGGCTTCTCAAGCGAATTGGGTATGGGGATATTGGGAGTGTGTATCTTGTAGAACTCAGAAAAACTAAGACTTATTTTGCCATGAAAGTGATGAACAAGGCAGCTCTTATAAGTAGGAATAAACTTCTAAGAGCACAGACAGAGAGGGAGATTCTTCAACTTCTTGATCACCCTTTCTTACCCACTCTGTATTCTTACTTTGAAACTGATAAGTTCTATTGTTTGGTCATGGAGTTCTGCAGTGGAGGTAACCTTCACTCTCTTAGACAGAAGCAGCCAAACCAGCATTTCACAGAAGAAGCAGCACGGTTAGTGATTGATTTGACTTTTTTATTTCTATAATATCATCTTTTCATGATTTCTTAATCAATATATATTAAACAGATTTTTCAAATAAATCTAATCAGGAAAAGATTAACATAACAAATCAATCAAGGAACAAAAGACATGTAACTATATCCTTTCATAACTTATTCGCTATTTCTATCAATTGGGTTTGCTTGAAAAATTTTACTTGTGAAGGGCATCTCTAGTTTGATAATATAGGCTGATAGCCAGTCCACAGTTAGGACTGATACGCTGTAAAAGAAAATGGGAAAAAAAATAATAGAACCGATTATTCCTGTTGCCCATAAAAAAACGTCATAGCATGGTGAAATCTGTTCAGTTGACTTTGATATTTTTGCTCATATTCATCCTCTTATCAGGCAGTAAATTCAAAGCATTAATTGGGGTTCCACGGCATTTAACTTTCAGAAGACTTCTGCAAGGGACTAGTTTCTTGCATTTCCTCAACTCTTCCATCTTTCTGCATACTCTTGTGAACATTTTGAACAGCAAAAGCAACCATTTCTTTTTAAAATACTTCTATTTGTACTCTCTTGTCCTCTTCCTTTATTTTCCTAGTTTGTGTTGAGAAAATAAGAGAATAAGAATACATCACTCGTAAGTTTCATACGTTGCTATTCTGTGTATCGAGATTACAACAAGTTGATTTCACGTTTGCATAACTAAAACGAAGTTAGCAATCCCTATTAATCTCCATAAAAGCAAAGTTCAACAATTTGATTCTGCTCTCTGTATTAGACTGTAAAAGCAATATAAGAACTCTATTTCATGTCAGGTTCTATGCTTCAGAGATATTGTTAGCTCTTGAATACCTGCATATGCTAGGCATAGTGTATAGAGACTTAAAGCCAGAGAATGTCTTGGTCAGAGATGAGGGCCATATAATGCTCTCAGATTTTGATCTATCCCTTCGCTGCTCGGTCAATCCTATGCTCATCAAGTCTTCATCTGCCCATGTAAGCAGCAGCAGCAGTGGCAACAGTGGTTCTAGTTCTGGGGTTGTTTTGGATGACCAGCAAGCAGTGCAGAGTTGTATGCAGCCATCAACTTTCTTCCCACGCATTTTACCATCAAAGAAAAACCGAAAATCAAAGTCTGATTTCGGCCTCATAAATGGAGGTACCGCCCTCCCTGAATTCATGGCAGAGCCTTCAGATGTGAGGTCAATGTCCTTTGTAGGGACACATGAATATCTTGCACCTGAAATCATCCGGGGAGAAGGTCATGGCAGTGCAGTAGATTGGTGGACTTTTGGGATCTTCTTGTATGAGCTTCTACACGGGACAACACCCTTCAAAGGTGCTGGAAATAGGGCCACGCTTTTCAATGTTGTAGGACAGCCCTTAAGGTTCCCAGAAACTTCCCAGGTGAGTTCTGCAGCAAAAGACCTTATCAAAGGATTGCTAGTGAAGGAACCTCCAAAGCGCATTGCATATATAAGGGGTGCAACAGAAGTAAAACAGCACCCATTTTTTGAGGGAGTAAACTGGGCTCTAGTAAGAAGTGCCCTGCCTCCTCATATACCAGATCCTGTAGATTTTACCAAGTATGCTGGCAACGAATCAGCAGAAGCAGCGGACAAGGTGATAGGTATTGCAAAAGACAAACATGGCCCAAATGGCTCTGCTAATTCTTATATGGATTTTGAGTATTTCTAACAGAAAGTCCTAACTGCACTATACAAAACTGTCATCCCCTTTTCTCCCTAAAGAAAATAACGGAGGAGAACTTGAGCAATGATAACATGCATACAGATATGTAAATTTCATCCAAAGTTATCGTTTATACTTTTGGGTTTCTTTTAGTTTTAGGTCTTCAATATGTTTTGAAAATGAAGGATTGAATTTTTGGATGAGTATCATCACCAGAGAGATTGTAACATATGACATGAGTTCTTGTGACAGAGACCGAAATGATATGGGAAGCTTAATCTTACTATGAATGGTATGAAACAATGAAGTGTTCTTTCTTTGGAGTATTTAAATGGGTTAATTCTCCCATCTCAACACCTTGTTTTTAGGGTAGTCGGTGTCCGCAATCTTAAAACTGTTGATTTCTCCAGATGAGCTAAATCAGAATGCAAATAGACGAACCGTAATATCTCCCATTTTCCCATGGACCAAAATTGAAATACATATTAAAGGTTTAAGCTTCATTTCCGATTGCTAGGGATGACCTGTAGTCCTTGTCCCATCAAATAGGTACTCAAGAACACTAACTAGACTTGAAAACGAAAACGAAAACTGCCTGTGCGCCAAAATAGTCCATGGAGAAAAAACTTTACATCATCCACACACAAGTTTTCTCTTTCTCCAAGTTCTAGCATATTTTATACTGACGTGGGAAAAGTGATATATAGCAACTCCATTTTTTGTACCTTCGATAACTCTCCAAGTTAGATAAATAATTCTAAGGGTGGAATAATGATAGGTTCCCGATTTTGGGTTGCACATACTGTTAATTTGATTAATGAAGATCTCTTTTTCCATTTAGAAAAACAGTTTTACAAATTGAAACTTGTAGGTATTAACTTTTTTAAGACAAAAAGTGACCAGGATAGAAATCACAAAACAGCCAACTTTGTATTATATGACTAGAAAGTATTACACAAGACCCCATCACTGAGTCAATTTATTTCCCAGATAGATTAAGTAGTCTATCAGTGATCTTCACATCCCCGAATTACCAAGATATGAGGGGTAAACCAATAGCTAATATGCCACATATAACTAAAAAGGGGGCTTTTCCCACATAAGCTGTACCGATCTGAGATGGAGATTGTTGGGAATCTCAGCCAACATTTAGCCTGAACTTCAGAGTTTTGCTTTCATAGATAACCTGCTTCTCAGCTCCTCAGCCACGGCATCAATGAACTCTTCAGTATTCAAATACTGGGACCTAGAAACCCTACAAAAAAAGAGGAAGTATATGTAATCCGTAACAATGATAAAGAAGAAGCCAGTATTTTACCAAAAAATTATCCACTAGCAGCAGTTACTTTGGTCCATGAGCAAGAAGCGCAAGATCCTTTGTCATGTTTCCCAATTCAACTGTTCCAATGCAAGCTGCTTCAAGTTTCTCAGTAAAGTCCAACAATCTTGCGTTTCCATCCAACTTTGCCCTGAGAAAATAAATTTTCTTTAGATTTTTCATCCATTTCAGGAAAGAATTTGGATTCAACATTTTTTTGGGGAGGGAATGGGGAAGCAGCTAGGAAAACAAAATTTGATCAGTTTTTAATCGTTACCTGTGTGCAAGGCCCCGTGACCAAGCAAAAATGGATGCTATACTATTTGTACTAGTTTCAACTCCCTTTTGATGAACCCTGTAATGACGGGTAACAGTGCCATGGGCTGCTTCTGCTTCAATGGTTTTTCCATCTGGGCATACCTGTAGCCAGATGTAGCTACTCAGCTCTCAAGCTTCTATTTTAGAGACATAACAGAAGGAAGAATGACAAGAAACAAAGAAAGGAAATATCTGAAAAGAAGGAATACTGTAAAGGGTAGAAAATAGATACCAGTACTGATGTCATCAAGCCCAAAGAACCAAATCCTGTTCAGGGAAACAATTGACCAAACCAAATTATGAATCAAATTACTTGGTCGGGAATTTGTGAAAGCATTTTCCAATCCATGAATTAATTAAAAGCCACAAAACTTTCAAGGACCCAAACAAAGCAAAGTTCTCAACTGCGTGTGGATATACACCTTGGGCTAAGAAATCACTCTGCACATCCCCATCATAATTCTTGCAGGCCCATACATAACCTCCATCACTTTTAAGAGCATAAGCAACCATATCATCAATGAGACGGTGTTCATACCTAAAAAGCCAACGATATGTATTAGAAATGAACTTATGAAAAAGTTTTTCATGAGCATGACTAGGAAATTATCTGACCATATCCCTGCAGCTTTGAACTTGGAACTCCATTGACTGTCATAAACTTCCTGGAAAATGTCCTTGAATCTTCACAAAAGCATAGAGAGAACAAAAGTTAATGGAAGGAATATGTGATTCCGCTTTATCCACACCTCTCTTCCTTAGATTTAGGCATGAACTAAAGTTATAACACTTCCTGTAACCAAACAAAGAAATATAATCGGGAGGGAAGTGCTTAAAATAAGTTGATCATCTAAAATTACAATAGTAACCCATTTACTCTTCATGAGGAATAAAACACAAAGAAAGAAGATGGACCACAAACATACCAGCATACCTGCCATCATATTTCTTGAGGATTGTATTTTTGGTACTAAGATAAAGTGGCCACTTTTTCTGGTAAGCAATATTCATTGAAGCCTCAGCAAAAGCTCGAATGGACTGTTTCAAGACCAAATATATCATAGTTATAGCCAATGAAGCCCCATATCATTTCACAGACAAAAATAAAAAGAAGCACCAACCATATGCGAACCTCATCAGTGTTATACATGGACATAGCTATGCCTCCAGCACCAGTAAATTCATAGACCTCTAACTCTTTTTTTTCACCATTTCCGTTGGGTACTGTGAAAGTGCAGATAAACTTCATAAGATGCTCGTCTAGTGTGGTACTGATTAAGCAATTCAACAATTGTATCAAAATTGAACTAACAGAATCTTGAGAAACTGTTAAATAGAATCAGAGTTTACCGAACAACAACTTTAGCTTTCCCTTCCCTTTTATTACTGTATCAGTTGCTCGGTACTGATCCCCAAATGCATGCCTTCCAATGCAGATGGGCTTTGTCCAACCTAAAAGACTATGGATTTTACTCCCCAGATCCCATCATAAAGTACAATTCACATAGTAGGTTTTAGTCTTTTATGAACCTGAAACAAGACGAGGGATGTTTCTGCAGATAATTGGCTCTCTAAAAACTGTACCTGTAGAGCCAAATGTTCCCCAGAGACTCAGCCAATATTCCAGAATAAATAGCAGAATTACAAGAACCATTAGAAAGATTAGTTACCATTTAAAATGTTCCGAATTGTGCCATTAGGACTTTTCCACATTTGCTTTAAGTTAAATTCCTTGACTCGAGCTTCATCTAAAAAAATAAATCCTTTGTATCAAAAATTTATTTATGCAAGAAGCTGCTAATTTAAAAGAAATGATACAGAAACACATGCACCTTTCCATATAAAGTCAATTACAAATACCTGGAGTTATAGTCGCACATTTGACTGCCACATTATACCTGCAAAAAATAAAATGAGCATCACAAGGTGAAATTAGGAAGCTTCAGCAGGCAAGATGGCTTATTTTAAACGAACAGAAATTAAGATTGCTCCACTTCTTTCCAAAGAATTTGAAAGATGACATCACAAGGTTGGTATCCTAACCAAATACATCCACTAACCATAGACTACATAGAGGTAGCATCATAGATACAATTTAGTGCATGCTTTCTTTCCATATAATCTCACATGTTTCTTCTTCAAACAATTCAATCTTCTAAAATATATATTATTTGATTTTAAAATATCCTCAACCATTACCAGCTTTAGATTTAAGCAAAGAATCTTCATTTCTTTACTTTCTTCATCTTCTAACTGCATATCTTAACGACCTCTCAAGTCTCTACCACTAGAATCATTTCTCTGAATACAATGTTTCCTAGAAACTTGCCTTCTAACAGGAAACTACTATGATAAGGAAAGGTATAAGCAGCCAACATATCACAACAGTAATGGCATGAGGAAATCAGTAAATGTTGAATACCAAGCAGAAAGAGTAACATTGACCACGATAGTCAAATGTCATATACTTGAGTGAAAATACGCAGAAATATCCAAGAATGAGAGAACATACTTGAGAGTAGCTTCAGCACTTTCAATGGTAACTCTATCATTAGTAGCATCACGATGAGGAAGGCCAAGGTCAAAATACTTAATATCCAATTCCAGATAAGGGAAAATAAGCTGCAAAAAGAACAAGGAAGAGGGAGAAATGCATCTAATATTCAAGAGAAAAGAAAAGAGCCTAGCTATTTCATGAAGACGATTCAAGACATAAGTACCTTGTACTTTATCATTTTCCAAATTACCCGTGTCATTTCATCTCCTACATGTGTAAGCAAGGATGTTTAATCACAGAAAGAAAGCGGAAAGATGATGTTTTCTTAGGACCTATTCAACTAGAATGACATAACAATAAGAAGCTCAAAGTTCATAATGACTGTCCGCTGACTAGTCAGGCGGCAAGCAGACATGGACACAGCAATTTGCTCTAAAAACTATCAGCCTAGTGAACAACTATGAAGCACTGGTGCTTTAAAAACATAGCTTGATCATATCTGAGATGTGTTCTATACTTGTAGTGCATCACACTTCAAATTTCAACAAAATGTCACTTTTTTTAAATATGTTGCAGCGCCCATGTTGCGCTATCTCTCAAAAAAGGGGGAGGAAATGGGACCGCCAGAATCTTTTAAAAGACCGGTTATCTACACCTATAACAAGACAATCAGTCTCCTGAATCTGAAACTCTCATTAAGCCGCATCGTTTAAACTATTTTCAGGTAAACTAAAAACCTTACAACGTTTTGTTATCTTTGCTGCTCAAAATCCCAAATTTCTAGCTTCGTATTGATCAGAACTTCCCAAAAGTAGTTGTTTTTCAAAGAAGAAAACTAGAATTTCAAAGGATCCAAACCCACTAGAACTCAATTCCCAATAATGAATTGAAAGACACACATATTTTCCCAAATCTAGTTTATCACTAAGCGTACGCAGCACTGCACAATCATCATCAGTGAAGTCATGTAGACAATCAGAGAAGTGTGAGAGTGAAAGATGCTTTCTTTTACCGTCCATTTCAACGATGGGGTTGTCCACCCTTATTTTCTGAAACGCCATTCGGATTGCTGCAATTTTCTTGAGGGGAGAAGCAAATCAGAGTTGAAAACAGAAAGGAAAAAGCGATGGGAATTGAAGAAATAATCCCACGTTTTAGTAGTGCCTTCTTGCCGTCTTGCCAAGCAGATTGAAGCACGCAACAAAGTTAATATTGGTTATATTCATTTTATGTGTAATCCGTCAATATTCATTCTTACCCCGATTAATTGTCAATTTGTCAGTTAATTTAGAATTTTGGGTGTTATAATGAGATAAATTTAAAAAATATTGGTAAAACAAATAAAAAAATAAAGTTAGTTAACAAACATTAGCAAGAGGCAAATTTAAAAGGTTAGATTTATAAAATAAATAAATAAAATTTGTATAATTAATATCAATACAGAATATAACTCTATAGCTACTTACTTTTAAGTGTATGTATTATAAAATACAACTACATAAAAGAAATAATTTGTGATTAAATTAAATTTCTCCCATATGTAATAAAATCAAGCTTTTACTTTATAAGTATTGTCCTTATGAATGTCTTTCAATAAGAATTCTTTAAACATTTTCTTCTCAAACTGAGACTAAGAATGAAGGCAAAAAAAATTAGAGAAATTGACACATTGTAACTCTTATAAATTTCAAAATAAACTGTGTTTGATTAAAATTAATGGAAATGTATTGGATGGTCCATTTTGTATAGTAAAAGCTACCTAATTGTAGCGCTCTCCACAAGTGCACAAGCCGTATCAAGTAATATAAAGTGAGTAAAGTATCGTTCCCACGAAGATTTATGTTAAAAATACAGTCAAGCAAAAGACTAAGTAAATTCAATTAAGCTGAGCAAAACATAATGAGATGAGGTTGGTTTAGCAAATTAAATTAAAATTAGAAAATAAAGAAAAGCAAATGATTCTCAAACTTCAAGCCCAAATTGATACCTAAGATTATTTATCGGCCTACATAATTCATAACACTAAAATTACCTCCTTTCATAAATGTTTTTAATAAAAATAAGTGCTAACCTAGAGTTATAAAAATACTTAAACAAACTTTCTCAAATCATAAACAAATGTTTAGTTAAATTAATTGTCCAATTTCTTATTACAATTAATAAAACCCAATTTTAAGCTTTAACCCTAATATAGCTATGCAAAGTTAGCACTTATATTTCTATCTTAATAGCAAAATCATCCATTCGTTATGCAAACTTCAACTTCTTACACTATTTTACCTAAATTCTATACCCAAACTAGCCTCTCTCAAGCATCATTCAAGTGAACAAATCAACTAAATGACGGTCAATTACTTAGAAGTATTAAGAAAAGAGTAAAATAAATCTTATATATATCATTAATCATAGAAAGAAAGGATAAAATTAGTGTTAATCCATACAATGATTTCAAATAATCCTAGAACAAAGTGTTTACTGTTCATAATCATCCATAAGGTGCAAATACATAAAATATTTTGGACCTATTTTAGAATATAAAAGAGAAAAGGAGAAGAAACAGAAAAACTAAGAGAATAGAGCTTCAAATGTTTTCAAATCTTCATTCCCTTGCTCTAAGATCCTCCAACTTCAAAACCCTAGCATACCAAGTTTCCAATGGAGGATCAAAGTTTGAAGAATGCCTTTACAAGGCTCAGAAATTTGTATATGTAATCCTAACTTCAAGTCTGATGTCAAAACGCGTAGCTTCAGTAAACATTTTTTGGCTGCAGCTTAAATGTTTCTGTGAGTGTTTTGGCTACAGCTTATGATTTCATAACTACAGTCGAAGTGCTTTTGTCTTGTTTTGATTTTGGCTTTCGGCTAAGATTGAAGGTTTGTTAGCTGAGGCATAATTCTTCACTCTTTGTCTTGTCTTTTTCTTAGTGTAATAACTTCATAACTCCTTCTTTGCTTATCAAATGGTGCTTCAACAATTTAAAAAGATAAGTAATTTTTGCAAGGTCCAAGTTCAATCTTAACCAAGATAAAAATTATGCACAATTTAGATCAAGATTTTGTCATTTAATCCCAAGTATGAGAAATGTTCATTTTCCTATTATATTTACCAAAATTATGCACAATTTCATCTAAAAGCATATGAAATTGTAGGAAAATACATTCTAATGGCATAAATTTTCATTAGTTATCACCAGTTCTCCTTAAAAAATAGTTTAAAACTAAATTTGCACCTTTACACATGTTGAGGTAGAGTGCCACGTGTCATTTATGCCCCCATATTATAGCTGGGAATATGAGTGAGCCTGGTCCTATGGGCTTGGCCCTTAAGCTCGGTTATCTATTTTTAGCCCCCTTTTTAAGGCTTGGCCCTTATGTAAAGAGTTCAAGCCCAGGCCCAAAAGCCCTGTTCAAAAAAATAAAAAAAAATAAAAATAAAATTAAATATTATAAATTAATTAAAATATTTTAAAATTTAAAAAATTAAAATCCACACAATATTTTAAAAATTAAACAACATATTTAAAAATCTAAATAACACACATTCATCAATCCAAATTCAAATCCTCCTCATTCTCATCATCTACAAATAAAACATTAGATCCCTCAGATGTAAGTGTACTTGTTGAAGATGAAGGTAAAAATTCAATATCAATTACCTTTATAACTTTTTCTTCATCATCTACAATAAATATTAATCAAATTGTATCATTATCAATTAAATATATGTATGTGTGTGTGTGTGTGTAAAATAATCAAGCTTATCAGGGCTTGGAGGGCCGCCTAGGCTCAAGTCTTTTTTCACAGGGTTTATTAGGGCCAGACCCTCAAGCATGATTCCTTTAAAAAAAATAATTTTCAAAGCCTGTACTCTTATTTAAACAAAGCCTATAAGCCCAGCCCTCCAGGCTCGGCCCTTATTCCCGACTCTACCTCATATAATGTTCGTTGAGTGAAGTCAACGTTGGGCTACTATATGCTCCTTTTTTTTAAAGTTGAGAATTTATTTCACATTACCTAATAGTATAGGCTACTTAATACTCTTGAAAAAATAGTTGGGAGCCAAATTTATACTTTTACCTTTTAGAATATTAAATAAATCCTTTGGTTTTTACGTGACATTTTGATATAGTATGAAAAGTCTAAAACATCCTTCATAACTTAGGTGAAAATTTTCTAATTTTACAATTTTGTCGTGGTGAATTTATAACTTATTTTTTCAATGTTAATGCCGAACACAATTTGCAAGATTGACTCTTAATTTTGCAATTTAAAATAAATGAATTTGCAATTTTAGTTACCAAATTTTAAGAGGGAATATAGACGTTAATGTTTAAAGCTAAAAAGTAATAGAGTTATTATTCTAACAGTTCTAGAAATTTGTAAATTTGACTTTCAATTTAACAACTTAAAAATGATAAATTTGCAACTTATTTTCAAAATCACATATTTGACTCTGAAGTATTTAAGTCAATTCATTTATAATCAAATTTGTCAAAAAAAAAAGGCATGGGACTTTGTTGATATTTTTATATTTTGGAATTGATTGAGATTTAAATTTAATTAATTGATTCCTTTAAGTCTTAGATGTCATTTTCCCTTCTCTTTTAATTAAAAATTAATGAATGTTCATGAAAAATATTATGGGCTGACATGAATAATACATTTTTATTATTATCAACCTTGAAAAAAAATACAACAAATGGATTGGCTATTTATAGCCTAATGAATACACCTGTTAAATAAGAAACAAAAGAAACTAGAAAAACCAACAAACTACAACCTAAAACATATAACAAGCGTAGTATCCTATAGTCCAATATTCTCTTCACTCTCCCTCAGGTTAGTATCAAAAATGTTTAAGGTACCTAACTTAGTTAACATAAATTCATGACTCTTTTTCCCTAAGGCTTTAGTTAGATCTTTAGAAGACACAATTGTTTCAAGGTAATCAAGCATTCTTGTAATTTTTCACAAACGAAATGGCAGTCAATCTTAATATGCTTTATTCTTTCATGGAAGACAGGGTTTGATGCTATTTGTATAGTAGCTTTGCTAGCACACATAACTATAACAAGAATTACATCATCAACCCTTAAGTCCTTTAACAAACCTTTAACGCAAACTGTCTCAGCAACCACACTTCCTAATACTCTATACTCAGTTTTAGAAGATGATTTTGACACTGTCCCTAGTTTCTTTGATTTCCAGGAAATTAGAGCACCTCTTAATTTTATCAAGTAGCCTAGGACAGATCTTATTTTCTCTAGGCAAGCTGCCTAATCTAAATCACAAAAGCTGACAAGTTTTGTGTTGTGATTGGCTAGGAAAAACAATCCTCTTCTAGGATCCTTTTTAATGTTTTTAACCACATTCATGGTAGCTCTCATATGAGACCTTTTTGGAATACTCATGAATTGACTGAGAACCTGTACTAAATATGAAATGTGAGGATATGTAATGAAAAGGTAAATTAATTTTCCAATTAACCTTTTGTACCTAGTAAGGTTTTTTAACAAGTTATCATTCTCCCCCTCTTTTTCTTGACTATATAATCTCAAACTAAGGGTCATAGGGATATTTTTAGGTCCAGAAGTTCCTAAACCAGTGTTTGCTATTAAATTCAATGCATATTTTCTTTGATTTAGCACTAATCCCTTATTAGACGTAGCTATCTCAAGTCTAAGAAAATATTTCAAAACCCTTATGTCTTTCATTTTGAAATTACTTTGAAAATGACAATAAACAAGGTTGTTGGAAATTTTTAATGGCTATTAATGTTAGTTTAATAATTTATTAATGATAATGTGAGTTGTTGGGACTTAATAAACCTATTGGGTATGATGGGTAATGAGTTTATTATATTGATGAAATGAGAATGTGGAGTTAAATGTTAGGAAAATTACTCAAAGAGTGATATTAATGAATGTACTTGTGATTGGTTTAGATTGTCTAATTTTGGCACCATTCAAGCTAATTTGGAAGCTTGTATTTTGAGGGGTAAACCTTTGACCTCTCAAATGTTTAAGGAAAAATTATTTTACTTTGTATAGTTGTATATTAATTATTTATTTTATGAACTAAATCATTTAAAAAAATTTATTTAGGTGCTTGAGGACCCATTGACACAAATATTGCAATGTGATGTATTATGATGTGAATTTTGTATAGAA